AGGAATGCCTAGTGCTTTCTGGGTACTGCAGATCTGTCACTCGGCCGTGCTGCAGGCCAGCCAGGCAGCTTTTCAAGGCTGTTACATTTTGCTTTACTAAAAGCCAAACCGGCAGAATGGAGATAAGGATTTTTTTATATAATATAAATTATATTCAGCTTGGATACGTGGTGTTAAGCAGACCTTGGTCATGAAGATAAATTCTCCCTTCTTTTGCCTCTCTGTTTATCTAGGAAGATACCATGGAGGTGGAAGAGTTCTTGAAAGAAGCTGCTGTGATGAAGGAGATCAAGCACCCAAATCTAGTGCAGTTGTTAGGTTAGTGAAATACCTTGCTTTCTATCAGGATCAGATTCCTTTTCTCCTGCATTAAATCAGATTTACAAAATTATTTTCCATTACTTATTTTTCTGATAGAACAAAAATATAAGAACATTCAAAGTGAAAGAAAAAAAATATATTGGAAGCACAACAAATACCGTTCTTCATACTTCTCAAATTAGAGACTTTTGTAGAAAAAGCTGCACTAAATAGAACAAATCAGTCCATAATTAAGCAGAAGGCAACCGGATCGCTGCTTCTATAAGGGACCTTGTGTATTGCTAAATAAGTACATGAGATCAAGGCTGCGGAGATAAAAGTCAGATCAAACAGCACATGAATGGAAGAAATCTGCAGGCTTTACAGCTTGGCTGTGCCCTGCTTGTCTCACTGGCAAACGCATGATATGATGATCACTATACATAGTCTGCATAGCTGTTAATTCTACATGTACAAAGATTCTTAGGGAGACACCCTAAACCTTTACTAGTGTTTAATTGCCTCTGGACTTTTGCTGCTTTCAGGAGCAAAGCTGTCAAGCCAAGCCTAGGATGAAAGGAGAAATGTGAAGAATGTGAAGGCTTTTAGTAATGGCAACTATTCTGTACCCATTTAAAAAATGGGCACAGATGAGGTGTCTGCCCAGCCCTGTCTGGTTCCAGGAGTAGAGACTAAAAGATTTATCATCAAAGAGAGGCATTTTTGTTCTTTCTGATGCACAGTGTAGCTGCGTTTTACTCCTGTATGTGTGTAACAGTATGAACAGGCATTCAGCAGTGCCGCGGTGGGAGTTCGCAGAGATTTGACATGAGTATCCTGTTGCCCTCCGCCTCCGCTAATACATACTTTGTACATAATTGCAATGACTGTAGCAAGTAGTCATCTGAGGAATGTGTGAGAATGCTGCTTTAGGAGCAGGTCCCACCGTGCTGATCACTTACCCAACTAGCACACATGGGAGTGCTTCACATTACTCTCTAGTGACATTTCAGTCTGAAAATCTTGCCAGTTGACAGGTACCTACTTCCAGTTGGCCACTCTCTAGCTTTATGAAGGAGGAGAGGGGAAGAAAAGCAAATCATATGTTCAAAATAACTCCTATTTCATTCTGTAACCCTCCAAAGAACAGAACTACTTCTTCATGTATATTATATAGGAATAGCAGTGCTTCGATAGACATGTTTCTCTCTATCCATAAAGTAGATGGACAGATAAATAGACAGAAGCACTGAATTTTAAGCTGGGCTGCATTGATCCAAGTCTTGTAGATGGAAGCCTTCAGAGAAACACTCATTGGTACAAAATGCAACAAGTGGATATTAAATCAGAAATAGTGATAAGCTAGGGAAGAAACGGAAGCTTTATTCACGTGCTCCCTCCTCCTCACGGCTAGGTGTATGTACCCTGGAGCCACCCTTTTACATTGTGACAGAATACATGCCGTATGGGAACCTGCTAGACTATTTACGGGAATGCAACCGGGAGGAAGTGAGTGCTGTTGTGCTACTCTACATGGCCACGCAGATCTCCTCTGCTATGGAGTACCTGGAGAAGAAGAACTTTATTCACAGGTGAGCGAAGTCACACTGAACTGCTACAATCTCAGATTGCAATGATGAATGGGCCACCAGCATGGTGGCCCAGGAATTGTTCCTTTTGGGGAGGTTTCTTCCAGAGTTAGACTTCACACTGGGTTATCCATTGGCTATTCTGGTATCAATACTGTCTTGCAATACCTTCTCCCCATGACTTTCATAGCAGACTCACAATCTTGTGCATGACTGCCTGACAGCTATGAAAGTTGGTGTTGTCCTGTTCTGATGTACCCCCTATGTGCAAGACATTGTCAACCCCAAGTCCTCTTTTAATCCAGTCAGATAAAGCTGTGCCATAAAGCTGCTGCCAGTGTGTGATGAGCTGCTGATCTCATCCTATTCTTAGGAAACATAAACTTCTCACCGTAACAGCTATCATTACTGGAAATTTGATAGAATTTAAAGAATGAACCCTAATCCTGACTTACCATATTGCTCCTAAGGATAAGTCCACTCAATTTCTGAGACTGTTTAGAGCAAACCTCACATACCTTTACCTGCTGTATAAAAAGAGTGCTTCCCAATTCAGAAGAGAGGGACAGGCTATGCAACCAGAAGATTGTATTCAAAAGCCCTGTTGTTGCTCCAGTAAAGGAGTGTGCCTTTTTCCTTTATACAGGGACCTGGCAGCACGGAACTGCTTAGTTGGAGAAAATCATGTGGTGAAGGTGGCTGACTTTGGCTTAAGTCGACTTATGACTGGAGATACCTACACAGCTCATGCTGGAGCCAAGTTCCCAATCAAATGGACTGCTCCTGAGAGCCTGGCCTATAACACCTTTTCAATCAAATCAGATGTGTGGGGTAAGAAAACTCCACTTCAGTGGTTTGTTCTGTTTCATTTTGTTTTTCTTTGCCAGCCTAGACAGTAACTTGCTTTCTGGCTTGGGCAGAAATACTTGGGGAGGAGGCAGTCACATGCCAGGCCACAGCTTCATGAATCAGTAGCATTTTTAGCATGTCATATCTTCACCCAGACTGGCCTGAAATATCTGCAAGAAAGAGATGCTGGCTCATGTAATGAGCAACGTAAGAAGAGGGCAGACTTATGACCAGGAATTTTGGTTTTCTCCTTTTGCAGCCTTTGGGGTGCTGTTATGGGAAATTGCTACCTATGGGATGTCACCATACCCAGGCATTGACCTCTCTCAGGTGTATGATCTGCTGGAAAAGGGCTATCGGATGGAACAACCCGAGGGGTGCCCTCCAAAGGTTTACGAACTGATGAGGGCATGTGAGTATCTTCGTCCAGTTTGGGGGACAAAACATGGGAGGGGTGGGAGAAATCTGTAGTTAACTCTGAAATCCTTGCTTCTTATGTGCCATTTTGTTAGCTCATGTGAAAAAGGCCCCATCGCCTGAGATGTACCTGGTTACTGATGCAAAATGAGTCTGGTCTCTAGAGAACAAGAAGTCACTCTCAAAAACTGTCATCTCTGAGTACAGCTAGATAGCACTTTGTGGTAAATTGTATTTTGTCAGTAGGACTCTTACTATGGAATCACCAGATTAGAAGGAAGTTTAGTTCTCTACAAACACAGCACCTGTGCAGGAGACACGTAGTTGACAAGGTTGCACAAAACGCATCCTCCAAGCACACCATGAAAAGCTCCCTAATACTCCGTAACAAATTGAAAATCTACTAATAAAAGGTCAAAAGATACAGTGTGCTACAGGAAGAGAGCAACAGAGTTTAAGAGCATTGGCACTCTCCTTGAGTCTCACCAGAGCAGAGAGTCTCACCAGAGCCTTTGGGCAAAAGGCTGAAGATCCTAGGGAGCAAACCAGGCCATGCTGTTAAGGTAAGCAGCTCTGAGCAGAGAGACCCTGTCAGTGTGACCAGGGTGGGAAGAGACCCGTTGGTGCTACCTCAGGCAATCCGTGTGGCCCTCAGTGTACAAGACAGACAAACCAGGGACTAAGAGGCCATTCTACAGCCTGTCTCCAGTCATGCCTGATCCCCAGCATGTCAAAGAAACTCAGGGTGAACTTCAGTTATGAAACAAAGAAGCTGGGTGATGATGAAGGATATTGCTTCAAAAAACCTTCAGGAAGCTGACAAAAGCCCAAGAGCAGGGAATTCATATGACATTAATGCAACCCAAGATAAGCAGAATGCCAGTCACTTTCTAGACCCTATGGTGATGTCAACAGATAGTGCTTCCAGAATACATTCCCCTAGTGCAGATTTGTAACTACAGAAATTACACTGTTTGTCATGATACCCTTCTATAACTTTCCAAGCTCCATGTTAGATCAATGCACTCTCTTCCTCTTTCCCCCCACAGGGTGCATACATTCTCCTTTTGGAAGGCCCTGCCTGAATTTCAGTATGAAGAGCATGTGAGCAGAATGTTGCCTGGAGCTTTGCACACACAGTTAACTCTGACTGGGCTAGATGTGTTCAGTACAGACAGCCAGGGTAGCAAACATGGAATTCTCCTTTGCCCAAAAAATTCAGAAAGATGGATAGGGAGATCAGAAAAACCTGTGGAGTTGGCAGAGAGCTGTGATTTTTAGAATTTGTTCCTTCCTGTCAAGATCTGTTTGTTGAGATACAGTAGGGTGACTGACTACTGCTATGAATTAGTATCTGTGAATGACTCTAAACTCTGTTTAATAGTAGGAGATCAGAGTCTGACTACAGTTGAGAAAGCTTAGGTATTTTCTGTCTCCTGGGACAGAATAAAAATTTATCTCCTACCTGTTCCAGGCACTGAGACTTACTCTGCTTTCTCACGTTGCAGGCTGGAAGTGGAACCCACCAGACCGACCTTCCTTTGCTGAGACCCACCAGGCTTTTGAAACCATGTTCCACGACTCGAGCATCTCAGAGGGTGAGAGCCCCTGTTGCTTTATTTCTGAAACAGTACTGGAGGTTATCCCCCAGAGTGCTATGTCTTATGGACAGGCCCTTAAGGCTCATCTGCTAGCAGTGGAGGTTGTGATGAAGCTTCATCTCTTATTTAATTTCTTAACTCTAAGTGGGTAAATATGTTCTCTTACTTGCTGCACAAATACTGAATAAACTTTAGACACGCATCAGTGCAGGGACAGTATAGTTTCATTTGAGCACTAAGATGCCAAAGAGTTAATTTAAAGAATATTGTCTCCTCTATTAGAGGAAGCCTCTTGTTTCGTAGACTGAAGAGTAAGGAATAGTGAGTGATGCTGAGGGAAAGATGTATGCATATCGCAGTCCCTTGCTGACTGCAGCAATTAGGTCATGAAATACTATTCTACCAGCCTTCATTTTTAAAAAGTGCGCCTTAAGCTCTGGATTTTCTACTTAGCAACTTCTAGGAGTGAATCTGTGCAATTCAGCTCTCAAATATAATCAACTAGGAAGTAAATACTGGTGAGCAGTGTGATAGACAGCTGACAAGCAGAAATGTCTAAGCATCTTCTGAAATTTTTAATGAAATATGAAGCTGACCCATCCACTTCCCTACTACAGAAAAAAACACACCAGATCGAATTCTATCAGGGAGGATCTATAATAGGCACATCAGGTGGCCCATACAAATGCCAGCCTGGGTGTTGCCAGGAGGTTGTGGGTTTTTTTCTGGGCTTTTTTTTTTTTTTTTCCGTCACATACCTTGCGTTGACATTGGGAAGGAAACATGCAATCTTCATTTCTAATAGGGAGATGCAGTGCTTTGCCTCAAGCAAAGCAGCTTAGATCCAGATCCAGAGAGGACACAACTTTTGGGGGATCCCAGGAGCACCAACAGGAGGCACCTTAATTAAAACCAGACGCAAATGCGTTCAGTGCTGGGTTTAGCTCTGGAGCAGCCCTTAACCCAGCAGAGAGCTAGACTGGTACTAGACCTCTTGTACAGATCTTACTGCTGGGTTTTTTTTTGCTGAATTTATAAAGATGTAAATTAGTTTGAAAGCATTATGAAAAACATCTTACCCTGAATACCTCTAGACTTGAGCAAAAACTAAATCCATAAACTATGTATTTCTCAGTCATGTATCTCTTCTTGCTAGTCTGGGTTTGCAGTAAAGACCTAGATTTTCTTTTCCTCTTCCTCTGCCGACTCTGTTCCAACTATTCCCTTTTGGGTTTTTTTGTGTTTTTTTTTTTTTTTTCTTTACAGAGGTAGCAGAGGAGCTTGGAAGAACAGCCTCCTCCTCATCTATAGTTCCTTACTTGCCCCGGTTACCCATGCTTCCCTCCAAGACTAGAACACTGAAGAAACAAGCAGAGAACAAGGAGAACATTGAAGGAACACAAGATACTGTGGAGCACTCAGCTTCCAGCTCAGCGCCAGGTATGGGCACTGGGACAGTGGTAGTGGGGCCACGTGTTCTGGGCTAGGCTCACTGCTGCTGTAAATTGCCAGAGGAACAGAAGAAAACAGAACAACATAACATGGGAAAGTGCTTTGTGCTGTTGGTTACCTCAGCAGCCCGATTATTTAATAGCAAATAGAAAACACTGCAGCTTGTTCGATGTTATTTTTGTAAATCCCATTGTATTTTTTTCTTTTAAATTTAGTTTGGCTGCTTTTTTTTTAAATGACAGCTTCAAAACTAAAGTTGACAATGCAACGAGAGATTTTCTTTTATACTTGCAGTATCTGGGGAAGGAGGGAAAAACTACAGGGAAGGGAATAAGAAAATGGATGAAAAGAGCAACTTCACTTTTTCCTGAACTTTCTCCTAAGTGTCCTTCTCAGTATAGACAACAGACAAGTCACACATGCAGAAGTGGGGAAAAAAGAAAAAGAAAAGAAAAGAAAAAAAAAAAGTCAAAATCACACCAGCCTTGCACAAAAATATAAAAGTGCTAACTTCCTCTCTCAGTCTCGCTCTCTGCAGAACCTGGGCAGCTAAATATACCAGGCCCATAAAGCCCACTGCAGGATAGATAGGGTGGCAGAAATGGAAATTGATTTTGCAGATTCATACTTGCTTCTTCTGTCTAGGTTTTATCAGAAGCACACAGCCAACAAGTGGGTCTCCCGCGCTGCCTCGCAAGCAGAGGGACAAGTCACCCAGCAGCCTGTTGGAGGATGCCAAAGAGACCACTTTCACCAGGGACAGAAAAGGTGGCTTCTTCAGCTCCTTTATGAAGAAGAGGAATGCTCCCACACCTCCCAAGCGCAGCAGTTCCTTCCGGGAGATGGAGAATCAGCCCCATAAGAAATACGAGCTGACGGGTAACTTTTCATCTGTTGCTTCCTTGCAGCACGTGGACGGGTTCTCTTTTGCTCCCTCACAGCAGGACGCAAGCCTGGCGCCACCCAAGTGCTATGGAGGGGGCTTTGTGCAGAGGACCTTCTACAACGATGATGGCACTGGTACCAGCAGTGGTGGGGGCGTAAGCACTGGTGGTGGGTGGTCGGGCATCACTGGTTTCTTTACACCACGCTTGATAAAAAAGACACTGGGTTTACGAGCAGGAAAACCCACTGGCAATGAAGAAGCTTCAAAGCCTTTTCCAAGGTCAAACTCTACATCTTCCATGTCCTCAGGGCTTCCAGAGCAGGATAGGATGGCAATGACCCTTCCCAGAAATTCCCAGAGGTCAAAAATCCAGCTGGAACGGACAGTGTCCACCTCCTCTCAGCCCGATGAGAGCACGGGGAGGGCCAATGACTTGCTTCCCAAAAGGTTTGAAGAAGGCCCTGCTTTGACCAGAGAGAGACCAAAAGCAAAACTCTTGCCGAGGGGTGCCACAGCACTCCCTTTCCGAACCCCCTCCGGATCAGAAGAAAAGGAGGGTCCAGTGCTAGCAGCAGCTCCTAAGGGCAAAGAAAAAAACAGTGGCCCACGGCAAGGGGCCCTTGAGGATGGCGAGAGACCGGGGTGGTCATCTCCAGTAAAGGCTGCAGCAATACTTCCAACCACTCATAACCACAAAGTGCCAGTCCTAATTTCACCCACTCTAAAACACACTCCAGCAGACGTGCAGCTCATTGGCACAGACTCTCAGGGTAATAAATTTAAGCTCTTATCTGAGCATCAGGTCACTTCTTCCGGCGACAGGGACCGGCCCAGACGGGTAAAACCAAAGTGTGCTCCACCTCCACCACCAGTGATGAGGCTCCTACAACAGCCAGCTTCCTGCTCAGATGCAGCAGAAGAGTTGAGCAACGTGGCGGGAGCACAGCACGGACTGGAATCGAGCGAAGGGGGTAAGAAGGCAGCAGCAGCAGCACCTGTTGGTGGAAAATCTGGGAGGCCCGCGATGCCTCCACCTCAAGTGCCTCTGTCATCGTCTTCCACCTCCCCAGTGAAAATGGCCAACGGCACAGCTGGTGCAAAAGTAGCGCTAAGAAAGACCAAACAGGCAGCTGAGAAAATCTCTGCAGACAAAATCAGCAAGGAAGCACTGCTGGAGTGCGCAGATCTTCTCTCGAGCGCCATCGCCGAGCCGACACCAAACAGCCAGCTGGTGGACACAGGGCACCAGCTGTTGGATTACTGCTCAGGCTACGTGGACTGCATCCCGCATACACGCAACAAATTTGCCTTCCGGGAGGCCGTGAGCAAACTGGAACTCAGCCTGCAGGAACTGCAGGTGTCCTCAACAGCTGCTAGCGTCCCTGGGGCAAACCCCGTCCTTAATAACTTATTGTCATGTGTCCAAGAAATCAGCGATGTGGTGCAAAGGTAGCTACTGTCAATCTGGGTAAGAGAAATACACACGGGGAGGGGGGGACTTTTTTTCTGTACTGATGCTTTCAAAAGGAAAGACTGATACTTGAGTATGTGAAGTACCTCAGATCACTGAGTTCTCCTCACGTTTACAGGTTCATCTCAAAAAATGGGGATGGAGAAGGGTAGATTAAAGCTGTAAGGGGCAGAACATCAAGTATTTGTCCCTACCTAGTCAGTCTGATCTGCTTGGTATGGCAAGGGAAGGAATTTCCTTGCTCCTCCCTTGGAGAGGCAGGAGAATCGATAGCAGGTTCTCGCTCTGGGAAGGATGGTTTGATGTGAGATAGCTGGAGTACTGGAGTGGCTGCGGGCCACTCGGCTGTACAGGACCTCCCCTGTCTGCACTAACGCATGCTTTGGCCTCCTGGCAAGGCAGAGGAAAGGCACTGGGGCTCCGCTGGTACCAACTGCCGAGCAGTCTGAGCTGGAGTAGCGCTGAAGGGGGAGGTCGCGTGCGGTTGGGGGACAGGTCTAATGCACTGACAGTATTCAGAGCTGCTGGAGGTGGATGCACTAGCCCAGATGGCTTACTTCCACAGCACTGTTGCTGCTGTAATGAGAACTGCAAAATTAGTTAATATATGAACCTATCCCTTTTTCTTCCTGTCCACCTCATCCACCACATGTTCTCATCTTCATCATGTCGGAAGCGTCAGGGATGCTGGGCAGACTTACCACTGGAATACCCCCTTCCCCACCACACAGCCTTCACTCAGTTGATACCCATTTCTAGTGGTCTAGCACGGGTGCTGCTTGATGGTCTTTTGTGAGTAGTTTGGGGCTCTTGCACAACTTGCCAGTGTTGTTATTGGGATGGGTGGGTTACATATTTTTTTTTTTTAAGCTCTAGATTGTTTTTTAATTTGTTGCCAGGTTGACTCCCCAATTCAGTTTCATCACCTTGAGGATCCATGGTAGGTAAGGCAGAGCCTGCACCACCCCTGGCTGTTCTCCACACTCCTTTAGCAGTTGCAGTGCTGCGGGGCCAGCTGGAGAGCCAGAACGTATGGCCTCGCCTGCCTGCCCTGCGCCCTCGCTGCTGCAGGATTCCCTGGACCAGTCCCTACTCTTGGCATAACACTAACACTGATGGCTTCCTGGGATTTGTTCTAGTGCTTACTGGTCTCGCAGGCTTTCAGCTTCCCTGCCCATCAAGGCGACTGGTGGGTGTGTCAGCAGACGGGGGAATCACAGCCACCTTTTTTTTAATTCCTGTATTATAAAGGCTAGACCAGAATCTCATGCTGTGGCATAGGGAAGATGCGCATGCGCTGCACACTCCTCTGCCTCAGACATGACAAGTGTTACAGCTCTGCCTCGGAGAGCTCCCGCTGGTTTCTGATGTTTGATGCCTACTGACAATCCCAGAATGAAAGCAGTCATGTGGTTGAAGTTGTCCTCGTTGGTCCTAGTGCTGTTTGTCGACTTTCATGGCCTCAGAAAGCCAGTCTTCTGCATATACGCACAACTCCCCAAGATGTAAATGTACTGGCAAGTAGGAAGACCTCAACTAAACTTGTTGGTTTGAGGGAAGAAGAAAACAGGCCTGATACCTGGCTCCAAATACATGTTACCCTGCATGCTGCTGCTCACTTCACACTGTTGGTGGTGACAGAGGATCTGGCTTGCTTTGCACCTTGAATCTTTTATTTTTGGCTAAAAATGCTTTTTTAACTTGTTCTCAAAGTATGACTCTGCTGCTTTTAGTTTAAGCATTTAAAGTTGAGCTCTGGGGCACAGGTGTGAATTTAGAAGATGGGCACTTCCGTTTTTGTCTAGAAGCATTGCCCTGTTGGTGCTTGGAAGTAGGCTGGGCTGTCTCAGCCAGTGTCCCTGTTTTGTCCATGAGGCATAGCGAGACAGCGGCCTGAAAAATCTTTAGAAATGGGCTGGAGTCTGAGAATCCTCATTTTATTACTGGTCTGTGGTAAAGAAAGTTGTGTCACAATGCATGAATGTGCACCAGGGGAGCAGTATGCGAGGTAAAATGGACCACGTGAGCTACACTGTCCAAGCAAGTGAAATGGCGACAACAAAAACAACCCCTCCACCCCAACTGACAGGCATTAAAGTGAATTAGTTATTCCTACGAACCAGTTTTACTGCAGTGAGCTACTACCTAAGTGGAGACAAATGGAAGTACAGCACAGGTTGCTCATCCTGGCTTAGCAGTACCAAGCCGACCCTTGCTGCCTAGTTCTGCAGCAGGATTGTCAGCCTGCTCAGGCTCTGCTGCAGCCCTCAGGTCAGCAGAGCTCTTTCACAGCACTCCTCAGCCATAAGGCAGAGCACCAAACCGTTATCTTGCAGACTTTACTGAGGGCTTTTGTGGTTTACCTTATCTCTTTCAGTCATCTTTATTGAAGGTGTGCATTGCTGCACACCAAGCTAACTGCCTTTGGAAAGGTGACCTGCAAAGGGAAGGCGGCTTATGGTATTGCTTCATGCGGCCTTTTAAACAAGCAAAAGGATTGAAAAGATACGGGAGCTTTCTTCGGGTCTGAAAGGCAGGTCTTGTTTGCCCTGGCAGACAATCGCGTGGTTTCATCATTGTACAACTACTCAGCCTAGGACAAATGGACTGAAACTGCAGTGATTCTCAGGGGAAAGGTATTTTAACAAGAAAATTTTAAGGATCTTAGTCTAGTTCTGATGAGTATTTTGGAAAAAAGCCTTTTTCTTTTCCTGAATGCCAGAAAAGCTCCAGCAAAAGCGATAAAATAGCAAACAATTCCTGGAACTTCTAACTAGTAAAACTCCCCTCTTTCAGCCCTTTCTGAAGAAACTAACTGTGCCCCAAGGAGGGACTGGGTCCCCTCCACCGCTCATCCCCACTTCCTTTCAGATGCTGCCTGGTTTTCCTCCTCCACGGCAGAGGTGAGGGGCAGTGGGCACAGCCGAAGCAGCCACCTGTCACAGGGGCACAGAGCGGCTGGAGTGGGAAGGCAGCTCTGGAGGTCACCCCGTCCAACCCTGCTCACGCAGGGCCACCTACAGCCACCACCCAGGACCGCATCCAGATGGCTTTCAAATATCCCCAAGGACAGAGGCTCCACCACCTCTATGGACAACACAGAAGTCCATTCAGTTCTGATCCCTCCAAAGCACAGAACAGTGGAATTTGGGGATTTGCCCGTCATTGCTCCTACGGAGAGTGTTTTCTCCACTCTCACCTATTGTCTTAGTCACAGCAGGCAGGTAGATGGTGGCAGAGGTAGGGCTGACTTGACACTAATTTTTTTTCCCCCTAAATAGGAGACTGCAGAATTGCTGCTGCTTCTGCTGACCAACAGTACTTATTCCCAAACTGGAATTCTCCCCTGCCCTCTAGCAGCATAGTAAAAGGATGGTATCTGGGAAAGCTGGCTCTGCTGTAAATCACCATGCAGTTGTTCTTCCTTCCACAGCCACGCTCCTCAAATTGTTACTGTTCTTTCTCCCTTTTGCTAGGTTTGGCTTTCTGTTCAGCCTTAAAGGTCTCTACTGTAGCAGCTTCTCTGCTTTCAGCCTTGCACAGTACGTTCAGAGTAACGTAAGGACGGTGGAGCCCCGTTACTTGTCCCAGTGAAGAGCACCTCTTGCTCCACTGTTTAGAGTAGGGATGAGGCACAAACTCCTGTTGCGTTTCCTTTCCTCAACACTGTCAGAAGGCCTTGTGTGGTAAGGATGCAATTGCAGCCGGGCTCTCTCACTTGCACTAGTATGGGCTAGAATTTGAAGTAGTCATCTTTGCAACAGAGGATGGCATCACATAGGGCCTGGTAATGCCAAGCACAAAGCATGTGCTCACAAGAGTGAGCTGACGTGGGGCACTTTCTCTTCCTAGCTACTGTGGGGAATTAGCTGACTCACAGGTGCAATTCTCTTTTCTTCCTGCACTGTACACCCTTTTTAACCCCAGAAGTGGTGCACTCGGCTGTCTGACCAGCAGCACTTCGATTTAATCATATTCTTCATTAGTGCGGACAGGGGTGAAGCTGAATTAAGAGTCTGGGTCTCGGGACTGCATCAAATTTAGCTGCTGGGAAAGCGGAATGGAGCGGAGCAGCGTTGCTGATGCAGAACACAGTTGGGGAAGGGGGGGCTCTGTTCCTGTCCTCCTCACAGAGGACATTACTCCTGAGCACCGCTGGCCTTGTGTCAGTGAGACCAACACGCGCATGTTGACATCCCGTCAGGTGCGCTTGCGCAAGAGTTTTATGGCACACCACTCGCTGTGGGCAGCAGGAACTAAATGCCATGGCGTGGGGCAACAGCTGCACCAGTGCTGCTGTGTTAACAGAGCAGCCCCGCCCTGCAAGGCAGCGGGTGCGTGAGCAGGTAGGATGGGTTACGCTGTGCAGTCATAAAGAAACCCAGACCCTGATTGTCTGTACCGCTTACCTAAGGCAGGCTTCCCCAGCAGCTGAGGCGCTCCGCATTTTGCTTGCCAGTGTTCTTGGGCAGCAGCTGCTGTGACAAGCACTAATGAATCCAGAAGATCTTTCTTGCAAACGTAACAGGCTGCCATCGTCTTCTCTTTTAAAACACTCAGCCCAGGCCTGCTGCTAATCAGTAGCTGGCAGGAAAACTGAAGGGTAGCGACTACAGCATGCTCGGAAACTGCCCACTGGAGCGCGAGTGGCACCGTCTAGCACGGATGGGCACTGGGGTTGCGCTCCAGTTGCCTGCGGTGTAGAACAAAACCTTCAGCCTGTTCTCTGGAGGTAGGAAATAAGAGGTTCTGGGACACCCGACTTGTTTATAATACCTACGCGATAAGAAATGTCTGTACCAAAGGAGGTCATTCGTCCAAATGTGTCTGCTGTGCACGGGAGGTAATGCCCGATCGGCTCGGCACGCTGTTTGTATCAGTAGCGAACTCACTGAGGGCAGGAATGGATTAAAATGAAACACGTTAATCACCAATCACTCTACAGTGTTGTCAACTGTTTTTGTTTTTAATTGTTATTGTAATATATTTTGGTTGTTTTTCTAATTTAATTCTCTCACTATCGTCTGACTGTGAACTGCGAACAGTGTTAAACTTGATGTATATAAGGCCCTTTGAAGGGCTTTGCCTGTCGTTCCACAAAGTTTTGCCAATTTGCATTTTGTTTTAAATAAAGGTTGCAATATTTTATTGGCAAAAAATACTTGAGTGTATGCTGCTTCCTCCCCCCCCCCCCCCCCCCCCCC